TTCTAAGGATCGGACCGACGAAGTCATCTGAGGCGAAAGGAGTGGGAGTAGTCGAAGAGGTAGAAGCAAATCCACATTTTTGCCCAAGGGTCCTTTTAGCATACTCTCTGGGATTCGACCATTTTAGGGACAATAGAGGATCTTCAGGGGTCATAATGGGAGGCAGAGTCTTTTTTACCACTGGCGCAGTATGGTCAGAATCAGGACCATTTTGGTTTTCTTCTTCGACATTCACCTTGTCGCTTTCCTCGTCATCCTCGCCAGATTCTCCTTAGCTTTGTCCTTCTTCTTCGTCAGCCTGGTCCTTTTCGTCATTAACTCTCATGTCTTCATCTTCATTACCAGTAGGAAGGGGGTTGTTTGGTTCAGGAGGGGATTCAGGGTGCACAGTCGTTGGCTCTTCATGCGTAGTTGGACAAGGGTTGTCATTTGTTGTTGGGCCTGAAGGAACAGAAACTTCTTCACCAGCCACATCATCAGTGACCATATAGAAGTATTTAATAAAGAAAAATAAGTTTTAAGACTTGTTTTATTTTGTGCAATATTAGCCGTATAACTTTACGAAAAAGTCCTTTTGATTTACAACACTTGGACCACTCAGGCGCGACTTGGAAAGCTTTCACACCTCATATCTTTCACACTTTGAAGCTTTAAGACTTTTCAAATAGTTCATTCATACACAAACTTGATTGAATAATTCTTGGAGATGACGCTTGGGATTTATTCTAGTTGAGTGCCATCCATCATCAGATGATCTTTGTAGTGATCATTAAACCCTAACTTTACCTGCTTGCATCTTTGAGTACTTGTTAACCACATAGGTTATATCATCAACGACTCTTATTAGTTTTCATCATCAAAAGCATATTCATATTTAAGAGATCTTCTTTGATCAATAATCTGTAAAATATGTTTCCACATATGGTTGTTAAGGTACAGGCATAAAGAGGATGCTTATGCAGATTCTTCATCGGTGAATTCTCTATTTGCTCTTGAAGAGGAATGTGACTACCTCAGTCTCCCCTAGGTATGTAAGGAGGAGTTTGATGTCTCTTTCTCTTTTGGTGATATGGATATATCATAGGCACATCTTTTTGTGACACAGATGGGTGGGGAACGATTATTCGGCTTCTACTGGTGGTGGCCTTCTGCATTGTGTTCCCTTTTACATTCATGTTGTGCAAGTGCTCTTTATGATGAAGCAATCTCTATTCCTTTGCTTACGAGTTTTGTTATCGAACCATGTTATACATAAGGTTCATTGACTTGTCCGTTCCCTGTACTCCAAGAATAGCTTGTAACAACTGGAAACCAAGAAGTATTTCTAGTCTCAATGTTGGAAGTGGTGCTAGAGGCATGAGCGAAGGCTCACCTTACTGGAACTGGTAATAGATTCCATAAACTGAGGAGGTTGGAGGAAATTTGGATGCAATGGAGTGTTCACTTGAACTGATCAACATCACCTTAAGAAGAAGGCAATGGATATTTTGCTGCTTAAGCAGCAGCAGAGGCCTCTTCACGTAACGCGGTAGAGCGATTGGCTTTAGATCCTGTCATCATCGGAAGATCTGAAGATTATAGATTTAGAAGTTGAAAATTGGATTTGATTTTCTACCATAGGAGATAAAAAAAATAGAGTATATGTGATTTTATATTAGGAGGTCCAATTTTCTAGGTTGAAAAGCTTTGAATCGGTGGATCAAAGGATGATAATTCAATTGTGAAAAATGCAGGAATCCAAAGTCGACTCCCAATGGTGGTGCCATTGTACCTTTAAGGAACCACGGTTGATCAGAGACTGGAGGTGGCGAGATGCAACAGTAGGCTTGAGCTTCCAATGTGGTGGGAGAAGAACTCACTTGCAAGGTTAACACTCAAACACTTAAGTGAGTATGTGAGTGAGATGAGTTAATGAAGTTTGAATTTAAATCGTGTGGCTGAGAAATGGTGTGGTTTCTCTTTATATAATGGAGTGGTTATAACAACCTGATATTCTTTATGCGGGAGATGCAAGGAGCCATTGGATGGATTCTAGATCCTAATCTTCTGTGCTCTACCCCAGGATAATGTTCCTACCTATCGGGCGACATAACAAATTTTTACCCTCTTTAGGTCGCAGTGGCAGAGTCATTTGACCGAACAAGAACATAATATATTCAACATTTCTATGTTAAATATTATAAAATAATATAATCAAATTAATATTTAAGTATTTCACTTTTCACTTCATAACTTTTTTTTTTGTATTATATTAGTTTGTGATATATTGGATATTTGTTTATTATTTTGAACAATTTCAAACTTGTATCGTAATTAAAAAAACATGTTATAGTTTTTTTTAATAATATAGTATTTAAAAATGCATTATATTTAAAATAGTAAGTATTTATAAACAATATTATGAAGTTTATATTTTACTTTATTTATAAAAAATAATAAAGAAATGATCTATTTGAGGAAGGGTAGCTCGTAACCTGTATAAGGCCGGACTTGATTAATGAGTTTCGAGCTCATATTTAAATATAGTTTTTCTGATTTGATCTTATAAAGCTCGAGACCCTCCAATGTCGGCCTATTTAGAGTCGAGTAGCCTGTTCTGACAACTCTAGTTGAAGTCAATGAGAGTAAAAACAACCAAAGACCCTAATATTTAGGTAATTAAGGTTTGATCCAAAAATAATTTCACGAGAAAATTCATTATTAAGCTAAGATGTTAGCATGTAATTGATTAAGTAGACTGCAATTTGAAAAACAAAGCATCAAAAATTTTGTGAAACACAAGAATGGGATAAGAGAGTGAAGGCAACTTTTACTATGTGACAAAGTGTTTGCGGCCATCAATCCAAATATATTCAAGAGTATATGGAGGACTAGTATAATGCGGTATCTTATATAAATTGATATACAATATTTGACGCACATGTTCCCGAGGCCACCCACTCAATACGCTTTTCTACTCCCCTTCTCTAATTCGAAGACCTAAGTGGGCCCAATTACAAAGGCTAAATCTAGAGCATTATCATGGAAGATAAATGAACAGGTGTGACCTCTTCAATGAGTCTGACATATATATGATCCCAACTATCGATGCGTCAACTATCGGTAAGTCTGATCAAATAGCTCTCCACATCACAAACCAAATTATACGCAGATGGTTTAACCGTATGCCATATATTAGTCCTATCACACACCGTAATAGGTATTATCTCACTCTTGTAAGTTATATCTCTTTAATTTTACTTATTTAAATGTTAGAGTGTTAACTTTACAACTTCATCCTATTCCATCGCATTTGAGATTCTTGTATTAGATGAGATTACTCCTATCATATCATCTATCTCTTGTTGCGCAAAAGGAGAAAAAAAACATTTTCATACATCATATTTGTTGACATGTGATATTGACAAATCAATTATCTTCCTATTTGATATCTATTTTATTTTATTTTGTGTTCTTTATTTTAATCAATTTAGTTTTCCTGAGTTTAAATTTATTAGCATTTTTAAAAATTTTCCTTTAAATTATTATTATTATTAATAAATTGTAAATTATGTATATATGTTATATTATATATTTATTATTATGTATAGATTTACAACTAATATTTTATAAAAAAACATAAATGATATTTATTATGAGTAAGGATCCAATAATTTTAAGAGTAAGTTTTTATAACTTACTCCACAATTATAGCCTTTAAATTATATTTAATCGAATGATTATAAATAAAAATATTAATTTAATCATTAGATTAAATATATTATATATATACTTTTAATTCTATATTACTAGGGGTCTTCCTTATCGTAGACCCGCTTGTTTTTATGAAAATCTATTTTAACGAGTTTTAACTAAAAAATTCTTAAATGCACTTTAACGTGCAGGTTGCTAAAATACACATTCATACAAATAAGTAGGTGTATTATATCAAACTACAGAGGAGTTTGTTATAATACACCCACTTGTTTTTATGAATGTGTATTTTAGCAAGCTTTAACTAAAAAATAGTTAAATGTATTCTAAAGTGCACGTTGCTAAATTAGACATAAAAATAAGTGGGTCTATGTTACCAAACTCATATATATATATATATATATATATATATATATATATATATATATATATATATATATATATATATATATATATATATATATATATATATATATATATATATATATATATATATATATATATATATATATATATATATATATATATATATATATATATATATATATATATATATATATATATATATATATATATATATATATATATATATATATATATATATATATATATATATATATATATATATATATATATATATATATATATATATATATATATATATATATATATATATATATATATATATATATATATATATATATATATATATATATACTTTGAATTATTATAATTAATAAGATACAATTATTATCATTATATTAACAAAATTGATTGTTTTATAGGGTGGCTGTATTGTTGCCAATTTAATATTAGATATTTCATAATTATAAAAAAGAAATTATTGTTTATATTTGAAATTAAAAGGACTATTTTATTTGGTCAAAAATATTAAATACTGTTAATTTATTAAAATATTCAATAAATAGTCTTTAGTCATTAATATATACCTACCATACTTGTATTTGTATTAATACTTACCTAAAAATCCTATTTGTGTGTTCTTTTATCACATTTATAAACTAGTCCTAAGAACATGTTCAATGGTGAAATTAAATTAAACACTCATTGAGTTTTATATACTACTGTATAATTGTATAAGTGATTCTTATAATCTCATGTCATATTTATACAACTCATTTATATTTTGCTTTAATGTTACTTAATACAATATGTAAGTTTTGAATTACATATTTTTATTGATAAAATTAATCACTATTAGATGATCATACAATAGTTTATTTAATTTATTTCTATTATTTCTTTGAAACTCATTTCATCACTTGATTAAATTACTTGAAAAGTTCATGAATAAAACAATGGATGCTATTGAAGGAAAAAATGCTGTATCAATGTCAAGGGAAGAGAAGAAAGAACTTGTTCAAACAGAGGAAAATGTCCTAAAAGAAGATATAAAAGACCTAGAGACATGGGTATGTATATGTTTACTTTTTTCATTTTTACTTTCAATAATTCATACACAATAATTAAATTTCATAATTTTAATAAAATGTAATATTTAATTAGTAATAGCCCACCATTTATTCCAATTTTTTCTTTATCAGTCATTGTATTCTTTCATAGGTTGATTTAATGGAGACCATGGACGATAAGCAGCTAGAGGGTTATCTAAAAAATAATCCTGATGATTTAAAAAAGCCAAGGGACCAGAAGATGAAGAAAAAGGTAAGACTGTGGAAAGTAGAATATTTAGAAAAGTTATACAAAATAATTAATTATTTCCTTTAATTTTAAATGTTAATAGATAGAGTATTTTTAAGTAAAAAATATTCAAAGAATACGACCTTCTTTAATTTATCTTTTTAAAATTTAGTTTTCAAACATTCAAAAAGATTTCAGTAGCGATAATTAATAATTAATGTTGCATGAAAAAAATATGAGTTAATTCATAAAATCATCCTTTATTAAAGTTATGGTTGTATTTTGATAATAATACACTTTACAGGTTCAAAGCACTGGCAAGTCGAAATCATCAAACTCTACTGGGATAATGGCTTCAGTTTGGAAGTTCGATAAGAATTTGAACTAAAAACTCTTCTAATTGTTTTTCTCTTGTATTTCTATATCCTGTAAACTATAAAACAGTACTTCGATAATATTTTATTGTTGCATATTCTCATCAATTAATAATGTTTTTTTTCTAAAAAACTACAATTTATTGTTGTGAAGGATGTCGTAAATAACAGGATAAAATTATAAAATAATGTTGTTTTCGGATTTGAAAAATTGAGTTTGTCCCAAGAAAATTATCGGAACGAGTCGCGTACTAGGTCGCTTTATTTAAGACGTTTCGCCGTACTGTCAAAATATACAAATCAGACGACGACGTCTCCAGGATAAAACAGTTCAATAACGTACAATTGATAAATCGCTCTAGAAATACACATTTCTAATTTCTAAGTCACAGTATCTGGCGAAAATAGCCAGTCGAAAAAACAAGAAGAAAAAAACAAGACACAGTATCTGGCGAAAATAGCCAGTCGAAAAAACAAGAAGAAAAAAACAAGAAAAGAATGATTTGTAGACGAAGAAACTTAAGGGAGAGAAGATGGAAATCAAAATTCGTGTGAACCTTTTTGAAATCCGCTACTTCACTAGTGAACTTCTACCCTGTATTTATAGGCAGCGAGTAAGGCTGAGTAGGGAGAAAATCGTGGTGAATGGAGAAAATCGTGGGAGAATGGAAAAATACTGGATCTAGTCAATATGGTAGTTACTGACCAATTATTTTCTTAATTAATTAATATATTAATTAATATATTAATTAATTTTCCACCGAATTATATTAACTAATTAATGATAATTAAATTCTATAAATTCGGGTCCAAAAAATAATTCATCTAGACCGGACCGAACTGAGCCGAGCCGAGCCGAGCCGGCTGGACGGACGGCGGCGGCGCGCGCGTGTGTGTCTTGATGGTCATGGGTGTGTCCTCACTCCTTTCACAAAATTGGGTGCCCTTTAGGGCCCAACCCAAATGACCAAGTTGGAATATATAAACATTACTAATATTTCCATTCCCTTCAATGTGAGACTAAAATGAATCTTTTCAAATTCACTTCTATATTAGTTCTTACTTGTGTTCATTTATTGCTCATTAATTGTCAATAAATCTTTCCAATTCCCACTCTAATTAATACAATTCCAACATTCCCCCACTTGAATTTAAAAAGATTTTAGAAGTACGTCAGACGTTTCTAAGATTGAGCATAAGCAAAGGTGTCTACGACTTGAACCTTAGCGTAGCGAGTAGGATTCTGATTCAACAAGAGTGACACCATTGTCTTGAACTCTATCTCGGACATCAGACCTGCACACAACCTTTCCGTAAGGTGTATTCTTGTAGCCCGTGCTTTAGTGGCCCTGCACGTGTATCCCGGTTTAGTGAATGCTCTAGGAATTCTGCCTCGAAATTCCATAGGAACCGGCCTCAGTTCCACAGTCACATAGGTGAATCTATCAAGAGTACTCCTGTAGCCTAGGTACTCCCTCATACAGAGTATATATCTCATTAAGAGTTTCTATTATCTCATCCTCTCATTACTTCAGGATTCATGCTTTACTTGCATGATCATTTTCATATTACTCACAACTTGTTATTACCCATTGAACCTAAGTCTTGGGATCTCCAGTCATTTAGGTCGGGTTACCATCATGAGTAACTAATTGCTTTATAGGCATTAGTCCCATCTTTTTGGAAGTATTATGGACTTTCTCTCTAGTTAATCCTTTCGTCAAAGGATCTGCTAAGTTCTCATCAGTGTGTACATTATTCACTCTCACAGCTCCTTTAGAGATACAATCTCTAACAGTGCTATGTTTTCTTCTAATTTGACGTCTTTTACCATCATAATAATGGTTCTCAACTTTTGCAATAGCCGCGGTACTATCGCAGTGGATCAACACAGCTGGCATAGGTTTTTCCCATAAAGGAATCTCAGCTAGCAAGCATCTTAACCAACTTGCTTCTTCACTAGCTGTAGCTAATGCTATCATCTCAGACTCCATTGTGGACTGTGCCAGAATGGTCTGTTTCTTTGATTTCCAAGATACAGCTCCTCCGGCTATACTAAATATATAACCACTAGTAGCTTTGGAATCATCCGATAAGGTGTTCCAATCTGCATCACTATACCCTTCTAGTATAGCAGGAAATTTCTGATAGTGTAGGCCGAGGTCCATAGTCCTTTTAAGGTACCTCATTACTCGCTCAATAGCTTGCCAATGTTCGTTACTCGACCTACTTGTAAATCTGCACAACAATCCTACGACATATGCAATGTCGGGTCTAGTACAATCAGTGGCATACCTAAGACTGCCAATGATGCTCGCATATTCTGCTTGTTTGACACTTTCTCCAGTGTTCTTAACAGTTTCACACTTGGATCATACGGAGTGCATGCAGGTTTACAATCAAAGTATTTATATTTCTTTAAGATCTTCTTCACATAGTGAGATTGATCCAAAGAAATTCCTTGGTCGGATCTCGTGATCTTGATACCCAGGATCACGCTTGCTTCTCCGAGGTATTTCATATCAAAGTTATTGCATAACAATGATTTCATATCATTAATGGCCTGAACGTTTGATCCAAATATAAGTAGATCATCTACATATAGACATATGATAGTACAAATGCGATTCTCAGATTTGTAATAAACGCACTTGTCACTTTCATTCACTTTGTACCCATTAATTATCATTAAGTTATCAAACTATTCATGCCATTGTTTAGGGGCTTGTTTTAGTCCATACAGAGACTTATCTAACTTACAGACCTTGCTTTCTTGTCCTTGGATTACAAACCCTTCTGGTTGTTCCATATAGATTTCTTCTTCTAAGTCACCGTTTAAAAAAGCTGTTTTAACATCCATTTGGTGTACTATTAAGTTATAAATGGCTACTATTGAAATGAGTACCCTAATGGATGTAATTCTAGTGACCGGAGAAAAGGTGTCGAAGAAATCTATATTTTCTCTTTGTCTAAAACCCTTGGCTACAAGACGAGCCTTGTATTTCTCAATTGTTCCATCAGGTTTTAGTTTCTTTTTCAAAACCCATTTGCAACCAATTGATTTGCAACCCGGGGGTAAGTCTACTAAGTGCCAGGTCTTGTTAGATTCTAGAGAATCTATCTCATCATTAATGGCTTCTTGCCATAAGTCTGCATCCATAGATGACAGTGCTTCTTGAAGATTTATTGGATCTTCTTCTACATTATAGGCCGCATAATCGGCCCCATATTCTTTAGCAACTCTTGCTCTTTTACTTCTTCGAAGTTCTGTTTCTACATTGTTGCTGCTTTCAGTGCTTTTTATCACAGGAATGTGACTCGATTGTGAGCCCCCACTATTTCTCGATCTGAAAGGAAATTTGTCTTCATAGAATTCAACATCGTTTGATTCTATGATTACTCTGGAATTTAGGTCATAAAACCTGTATGTCTTACTGTTTACTACATACCCAATGAATACGCATTCATAGGCTCTACTAGCGAGTTTAACTCGTTTCGGATCCGAAATTCTGACATAAGCCAGACAGCCCCAAGTTCTCAAATAAGACAAATTTGGTTGTCTTTTCTTTAATATCTCATGAGGTGAGATCTTACTTTTTGACTTGGGAACTTTATTCAGGACATAGCAAACAGTCAATAAAATTTTCCCCCACCAGTGAGGTGCAGCACCAGAATTTAACATGATTGTGACTACAAGTTTAGTAAGAGTCCTATTCTTTCTTTCTGCTTTACCATTCATTTCAGGAGAGTATGGAGCAGTCGTTCCATGTATAATACCATGTTCAGCATAAAAATCATTAAACAAGCTAGAGTCATATTCGGTTCCCCTATCACTGCGAAGTCTCTTAATCTTCTTGTTAAATTGATTCTCAATTTCAGTTACATACACCTTAAACATGTCAATCGCTTCACTTTTATTCTTCATTAGATATACATAAGTATAATCAGAGCAATCGTCAATAAAAGTGATAAAATAACGTATATTATTTCTAGTTAAACTTCCATCTAATTCACATATATCAGAGTGTATAAGATTTAGGGGATCAGATTCTTTTATAATTGATTTATGTGAAGTCTTTGTTATTTTTGCTTGACTGCAAAATTCACATTTATTGGAATCATTGACATTTAGTTTAGGGATTAGGCCTATGTTGCTTGCATTAGAAATGATTCGTTTATTAACGTGACAAAGTCTACCATGCCAAATATTAAAGTCACACAAAGAGTAAACAGAAGGAGAAATTCTATTCAAATCAACATTCAACTTAAATATGCCATCAGTGGCGTACCCTTTTCCTACAAAAATACCATTCTTAGTGATGGTGTACAAATCTGCCCCTAAAGTTTGACTAAACCCAGCCTTATTCAAAAGAAAACCAGAAACAAGATTCTTCCTAATTTCAGGAACATGCATGACGTCCTTCAAGATCAAGGTCTTTCCTGAAGTGAACTTCAGCTCAACATCTCCAATTCCAGCAACATTAGTGGTGTGAGCATCTCCCAACAACACTTTCTTATCTTCAGCATTCATGTATGTCTTAAACATAGCACGATCATAACAGACATGATGAGTGGCGCCAGCGTCTATCCACCAACCATCACTTCCACCAACCATGTTGATTTCAGTGATCATGGCAATGAGTTGCTCATCAGTTAGGTTAACCTGAGCATTTGAGCCAGCTGCAGGTTTAGGCCTGCTCCTACATTTCTTTGCCATATGGCCCGGTTTCCCACAGTTGTAGCAAGAGAAAACCGGAGCATCATTTCTTTGATGTGGTGGCTATTGCCTAGCAAATGGAGCTAATGGGGCCCTAGAGGGATTCCCATTCTTAGTTTGGTTCATAGCATTGTAGTTCTAATTCTTTAAAGGTTTGCTCGTAGGCTTCAGAACCGCACCAAATTTCTTTTTGTTGTTAGACACAACTAAGACTTCTTCTTTCTGATCTTGTTTCCGAGCCTCCTCTTCAATTCGGAGGTGAGTAATCAGACTCTCGATTGAAAATTCTTTTGTTTT